GTCGTAAAAATAATGCGAGTGAACAGTTTGCAGGTCAGCAACTCTTGACCTCCAAGGGTAAATTGGGTTGCCAGAAATGCGAAATATATAACATACAGGCACGTGTCTCTGTGTGGTTTGACCCCCTCCGCTTTGCCCGACCTCAAATCACGTAGGGAAACTATCGTGGTCGGGATCTTTAGTGCCTTCATTTGCGTCCAGTTGCGCTGTGTCTACTGGCAGGTGGCGGAATGATTCAATGTGGTGAAACGTACTCATGACCCAAATGCGTTACTTCAATGTCCACCTTTCCCTCTGAAGTCATATTTTTTCAAAACCTCCCAGTGTTGCTGCAGCGCCAGCGGAGTCTCTGATGTAATGGCCGCCGTCGAGCCGTTCACAGAACGAGGTTTCTCCGGCTCTGCTGTCGAGAGTTAAATACGTCTCGTGGCTGCGTGAAAACAGAGCAGCTGATTAAATGTTCTTGAAAAGTTTGGAGGACAAAGAAGCGTTTTTTACAATCAGCCATTTGTTTATAACACGGCCAAAATGTGTTGGTTTGTGTAACATAATATGACATCGGCCGGGAGTCTCTAAAGATTAAGTTTGAAACTTAATTACCGAATTTGAAGCTAGAGTTTTTGTCAAACTGAAAAAAAAGCGCTGTAAATATTCTTCCTGAAAAGTCTGATTTCACATTTTCCCCCTTGTTAGTCTTCATGCACTCTGCTTTAACCTCCACCAGGATGTCCGAGTGATGTGTTTGGAATTCCGCTCTCATTCTTCTTGTCTCGCCGTGTTTGAATGTGTGCATCAGTGTAGCGTTGTGGTCTGCAAAACAAGCCGCTGTTGTTTGACACCGGCACACAAGACTCCTGGAAGCTCTGCCAGCTAGAACAGATGCAAGGTGGAAGAGCCTCCAAGATGCACACACACACACACACACACACACGTACACACAGTGGACAGAATTTGCTGACAGAAATAAGAAAATATGAGGTGAAGAAAAAAATTGAAAGTTTACACACTTCCAGTGAAGAAGTGCGTTTATATCTTCAATACAAATATTGTGAGGGACAAAGACAGAGAGGGAGGAAGAGAGACAAGTGAAAGAAAAAAGAAAGAGAGGGTTGTATGGGGAGGACTAAAGAAGCTGTGTGTGTGGGTGTATTTGTGTGGGTGCGTGTGTGTGTGTGTGGGTGTCTGTGTGTGTGTGTGTGTGTGTGTGCACCCGTCTTAAGGGCTGAAGGGGGCATCTGTATGCAAATGAGACACGGTTCTTCCTGGATGACAAATCAAAAGGCCCACCTGCTGCAACGGGCCGTGTGTGTGTGTGTGTGTCTGTGTGTGTTGGGAATAACAGGGCCAGTCTAACTAGTCTAAGAGTTACTGCTGTGTCTCGGCCAAAGTGTCTCATTCCTCTCCTCTCGCTCCTCGGAAGACATTAGTCGCTCTCTTTTCTTGCTCCCCTCTACTCCCCTACACACACACACACACACACACACACACACACACACACACACCGCCAACCCAGCTGTCACAGAAAACTTGGCAGGGGTCAGTGACGTTTTGGAACATTTTTGTTTTAAATTTGCTTTCACAATAAAACCTTTTGTAAAGTTTAGTTTGGTTTGCAGGCATAAAGGCATAAGAAGAAGAATCCAGCCAAGGTGACGCCTGCCACTTCTGCCAAAGATTATTTTCAGAACTCCCCAATGGTCCCCTGGGGGGGACTTAACCCGACAAGAGAGGACACTTAGTGGAGAAGGGAAATGAAGAAAAAAAAACACAACATGAGACTATAAAAAGGAACCCCATCAAGCAGTGGACACAATGAACAGCAAGGTAACAGGATGTAAACAGTTTACATCACTTGCACTGGGAACAAATTACCAGTAAGTGCATTGAAAGATGTGGATTCTTTCTGGTATTGTCCTTTATTCAGATTTTTAGACTGAATGGATTACACAAATTAGAGAATCCAGATTGAAAAATCATCAAGAGAACGTGTGAGAACTTGCCTCACCCATTTCTCTTCTCTTAGCCCCCCATTCCTCCCCCATCCCTCTTTCCTATCCCTCTGTCTTTTAATTTAAGCCTCCTTCGATCCTGCTCCATCTCACCCATCAGTCATTTATGACTCCTCCCCTGTCGCATTATTCCCTCACCCCCCCTCACCCCTCCCCCATCTCTCCCTCCATCCCATCTATCCGGAGAATAGTGCAACAGCAGCACTTAAGTCGTAGATCAATTACAGTAGTAAGGAGCAGCGGTACTGGGGGGCTGAGACAGGCCACCATTCATCCTTACACACACACACACACACACACACACACACACACACACACTCGCAAACAAAAACACACACACATACACTCACTCCCACACAGCGCTAAGCAACCCACCATTCACTATTATGGCACAACAGATTTATTACATACCCATACAGTACAAGGCAGTGCCGCTTCCAAATATAGCTCCCCTCTGTCTCTCCCTCTCTCTCCCTCCCTCCCTCTCTGTG